CTTTCACTGGTGCATGTTCATGTGCTGAGCTGGTGGAGTAAGACCTTGGCTGCCTTTAGGGACAGAGTCATCTAGAGCTTCTTTTTATCCCTGAAGCTCCCTGCACAGAGCAGCTGCAGCAGCACAGGCTCTTTTAGGGCCCCTACACCTGAGCTCCCTCAAAGCTGCCTCTTCAGGGATGATGTTTTCTCCTCTGTGAAGCCAGGGCCAACAGCATCAAGGTAAATCATCCCTTGCAAATTCGAGCAAACAGCTTTACTTAAGTTCAGTGAGAATTTGTATTCTGGCAGCTGCATGGATTACTTGGATCTTGGGGGAGAAATTGAACAAACCTCCGGTGCTGACAAGGCAGAGAGATTTCTTAAAGTTGCATTTTTTCATTTCTGTAAGTAATATATGAGGAGCTTTTTAAATGTCTTGAGGGCAGGCAGGGAGGAGCCAGGGAAAGAAGAAATGAAGAAAAGAGGCAAAACTTTGCCCATGACTTACTGAAAACACAAGTCAGCTGCTAGGCCCCCTGTGTGGCACTCTGGAATTGTGGTTCTCCTATCACTGATTCACCAGACAAAGGCATTGCAACACAGAGCCTTTTGTAGACCACATTGGTACCCTCAGAAGAAACGATGGTCAAAACCCCCAGCCCTGGAGGACTCTGCAATCCAAGCTGGCAGCCAACCAGCTGCTGTGGGATTTGCCCCTGGGAATGCCTTGTCTTTTCTATTTTCCTTTGAGCTGTGGCCACATTTCACTTTGATTACTCATGTTCCTTTTTTTGGATTTTCTTCTTTTTGATTTGTGCTTATTTGTCTTTCTGGATTATTGTGCCTTGTTCATCAGATGAGTGTGTTGCAGCATGACCTGCAGTCCTGGAGCAGGGGGAAAGGGAACGTGTGTCCAGTGTATGCAAGGGGCACTACAGGTGCTGAAACTGTTCCGACACTTGTGCCAGCCTCCACAGTCTGACCCCCATGTGCTGTGCCTGCCTCTCTGAAGGCAGGAGGAAGCCAGATGGTTTTGATGTGCATATACAAGTGACTGTCCTCACCTACCTTGAAACTTTTAACAGAAAGACTGAAGCATGTCAAGTGAACTCCTGATTCTCTCAAGACTTAATTGCTGAACAGTTTCCTCTGTGCTGGAGGGCTTGTTTGCCAAACAGTAACTTTACAAGCAAAAGAAACATCAATTTGCTTTTATTTTTCTGATCAAATCCAACTACCAAAGTTGAGTTTCTACCCTGACATTTATGCCAGGTCACGCTACATCCAGTCATAGCTCTGCTGGTATGGAAGAGTATTTTAAGAACATAAAAAGAAAAAAACCCTAACAAAAGCAAACCACATGTTTTACATGCCTTCTAGAAGAAAATCTTTCAAATCATCTATACAAGCACTACTTTGGCCTCAAGAGGTGTTTTGGTATAAACAAATTCTTAGTCCATTTTGCAGGCTGAGGAAGTACATTTCAGCTCACCTTCTCCAAACCTGAGTGGTGCTTAGACGGGACACAATGGACCTTCATGGCTGGATGGACTGGAGAGAGGAAACAGCAGAGCACAGCAGTACCCCTGAAACACAGCAGACTGTGCACAGCAGGACCCCTAAACCACGGCCCAGCACAGCAGCACCCCTAAACCACAGCACTCTGTGCACAGCAGCACCACGAGCAGAGCAGGCAGCCGGGGCACACAGAGCTCTCCGCCGTGCATGAATCTTGGCACCCTCAGGGAGGTCTGGGATCAGTGCTCGCTTTGCTGCGTCCCCGTTTCCCAAGGCACACTGTCGGGTCTTCTGGGAAAGCCTGTCGTGGAAAGCCTGAAATTTCACAGAATCACAGACTTTTTAGGAGCTCTGGAGATCATCTAGTCTAACCCCCTGCCAAGACAGGGTCACCTAGAGTAGGCTCTTCTGTTTTGAGACAGAAGTGAAAACGGGAAAGTTACCAAAGCACATTCCCACTCCCTCTATGCACAGCCACCAGGACGAGATGCTGACAGCGTACCGCCACAATCACGCGGTTAATGGACCAAGGCGCGGGGCTGTAGCTGAGCTCGTTGCTGGAAGCGCTTCCCTTTCGGCGAGCGCTAACCGAGCTCCTCCCCCTGCGCCGAGCGGGGCCGGCG